GCTATTTGAGAGGTGCTATCATATAAATTTCTCCCTAAACATAGGAAGGAACACAACTAAACTGAACCAGAACCAGAGAGGAAATACTCCTTATTTTTGTTAAGGTTTTTGGCTTACCTATTCCACTTCTCTACCGCAGGGCTTGTTTGACCTTGAGTCCCCTCCAAATTGAGTGACACTGTCTGTACTTGAGGACTCCCCCTGGGGCACCCTGCTGGGGAGTTTCCTTGCAAAGACTAATTTCCTGATTCTCTGGCTAAAGAGAGAAGGTTAATAGTTTAGGGAGTTTGTTTACAGGCCATTAGAAACAATTAGCACATTGCTGAGATTAAACCACTTCTCCATAATGCTGGATGGCCTAGAAAAAAAGGACTCAGAAATGTCTATTTTTAGCACCTAATTAAGACAGACTGGAGATCCCCATCCTCTCTTGCCTTCCTATTTCATATTTTAATTATCAAGTGAGTCTTAATTTCCTCCAAGCTAAGTTCTGCCTACAGTAACTTAAATAGTAACTTGAAACGCTACTCAGGGATTCTTACAAAGTTTTAAATCTCCCCATAACCATTTGTAGGCTGGTGATTTTTCAACCTTTCCTCTTGGGCAATCATTTCTTAAAATTCAAACTTCTTAATGATTTCCCTTTTCTCCTGAAAAATGTGTCTTTGTTCTAAGTCGGCCATGCCGCTGGGACACACTGCCCACCCTCTGTTGTCTTCTTGTAGCATCTTGCCTGGCTGCTCTTCCCCCAAAACCCTGGCCTCTGGCCATTCACTCTCTCTCTGCAGGCAGTCCCCGGCTGCCCTTGAAGGCTCCTGTGTCGTGTGCCAGAATCCTACTACGTTTGGTGTCCCTGTTGAACCGGTCCCCCGTAGCTAAGGCCCCAGTCAGCACAGCTCCTCATCTCTAACATTCCACACACTGACTGACCTCAGGGTCCATAGAACATGTTCAATCTTATCAGTGCCCCCTACTCAATTTTCGTTTGTGGCCATTTTTTTTTTCTCTAAGCTGCTGCAGAGAGGGAAGCAATTTAACATATGGTTGGGTCTATGTGTCTTTTCCACGTTGTATGCTCTGGTCACTGAAGTTCCACCGGGATGGTGCCCAGCCAGCAGCCCAGGATGCTTACTGGCAGACTCATAACTGGGTCCTCAGTTCACCTCCAGGTCTGTGAGCAAGTTGTGCTCCCTCTTGCCACGGGCACTTGGCAAGTGCTGCTTCCTTCATCTGTAAAGTTCACCCCCTCCCCCACCCAAACCCATTCCCCCTCCTCACACAACTTGGCCTAACAAGTGAAGCTTTACAAAGGGGTTGGCTCTCAGGGACCCCTGGCACCAGCACCCGTCGTCACCTGCTGACTACAGATAGATGGAGCTGACCCGAATAACCAGGCATTAGTCCTGTTCCCCTCAGTGCCATGTGCGGTCCTCCAAAAGCGGTGACTCCTAGGGGTCACAGGTGGCGGGCTGTCTTGCGGGATCAGCAGAAGGTCACCTTGTCCCTGGGAGAGGGGCGCCCCAGGCCACCATGGAGAGAATGAGCTGCGTCGGCCCCTTTGGGGAGTGAAGTCAGTTGCAGTTCGGTCTCAGCTAAGTCAAGCAGACAATATGGCAAAGAAATCGGGGACCCACCGACAAAGGGCCCGTACCCTCCCAAGAAGAGGGTGTGCATACTGGGTCCTGTTGATCATGTCATTGGAGTTATTAAGATAGGAGAATATGATGGTCAGTTCTGTGTTTCAGGAAGACACGTAATTCTGGAGACTGGGCAGAGCTTCCCCCTCAGCCTTGGGCAGATCACACCCTGCAGGGACTCATTCAGCAGAAACCCACCCCAAGTTGTGTTTACCCCGCAGCCTAGAGCCCAAGGCAAAAGCCGCAAGCAGACGCTTCCACTGACATTTTATTGACGTGTGTTTGTGTGCACATCACATCCCCGGCCCCAACTCCATCCATCATCTCTGCGCCTCAGACGCACACACTTCCATTCCCCAGAGCGCTCCAGACCTTCCTGACCCCAGGGCCTTTGCATGGCTCATCAGGAAAGCCACTCCTGGCTGTTCAAGCAGCGGACTCCCCCCAGTCCTCAGGCCCTCGCCTCCTTGTCCCCTCCCAGGCACCCAAGCCCTGACGCCTGCAGGCTGCCCCCTAGTGTCGCAGCTCCGGCCCTGCTCTTCCTTCAGGGGTCACCTGCAGCTTGGCCTTCTCCTTTCATTTACCAGGTCCCAGGATGACAGTGCCACCCTCAGCAGATCTGCACTCCGTCCTTTTCATTCACACCCAAATTCAGTATTCAGCACTTAACGAGAGTGAGTGGCGGGGCGTAGGGAAGTAGTATCTATGGAATGAATGAATGAAGCCAGCCTGAAGATCTAAAATAGTTGGTGAGAACTATTATAGAAATTACACCTCAAAATGCACAGCAAGAAAACAGAAAACAGACATTCTCAGCCCAGACTCTCGGCTTGAAGAGGCTGGTGCAGGAGAGCGTGCCTGTGGTTTGGTTTCAAACGCCAGGCGGAAGGTGTGCATGGTGCGTGCTAAGTGTTGTTGAGTGTGTGACAGTGAGTCAAACATTGGAATGCCACAGTGCATTTTAAGTCCACTAAGGCAGCTCGTTTAAAAAGTAACTCTGGCCTTGGCTGGTGTGTCTCAGTGGACTGAGCATCAGCCCGGGAACCGAAAGGTCACCAGTTTGATTCCCGGTCAGGGCACAGGCCTGGGTTGCAGGCCAGGGGCCCAGCTGGGGTCATCTGTGCGAGAGGCAACTGACGGTTGTTTGTCTCCCTCTATTTCTCCCTCTCTTCTCCTTTCTCTAAAAATAAATAAAACCTTAAAAAAGTAATATTAAAAAAGTAATTATTACTTTTCCAGTGAGAAATGCCCCTTTAAAACATAACCACCGTGCTGTGACTCTGACTCACACAGAGGAAGCTTTGCCACTGCCTTGTACGCCAGCTGCCGTGGCCCGTGTAACGTGGGATTTCCAGGCCCGGGTCCACGGCAGGCAGCTGGGATGAGAGTGTCTTATCAGTGGCTCAGGCGGGGCATTTTCCCGGGGCTGGTTTGAGATGAGTGTGGACAGAGCGTGACCCAGTGCTCATCTGCGTGGGTCTCTGGGGCCAGGCAAGTGCAAAGGAAGGATGGGGTGGGCCGGGCAAGCTGCAGGGTCCACAGAGCCCGAGGGGACCATGTCTTCAGGACATTGCATCACACAGCCTCACCGTGAGCATTTGTAAGACAACAGCCGTTGCTAGGAGAAGGTGGCAGGTGCATGGCAAGACTGAAGCATGAGTCCAGGCAGACTCCCAAATAACACCAGTTTCAAGCTCCTACAAAAAATATGTGTGCTCTCACCTGAGGACACGCTTATCGATTTTAGAGAGAAGGGAAGGGGGAGAGGGGGAAAGACATCGGTGTGAGAAACATCCGTGAGGTCAGTTGCCTCGCACAGGAGCCCTGACCGGGGGACAGGACCTGCAACTTGGGCATGTGCTCTCGTCTGGAATTGAACCCACAACCTTTTGGTTTCTGGGACGATGCTCCAACCCACCGAGCCCCACAGGCCAGGGAATGCGCATGCACACGCTCGCTCTCTCATATTTCCTTTTTTTAAGTTTAATCTTTGTTGTGTTTTCTCCATGACCATTTACTCCCTTTATACCGCCCCCACCCCAGTAATCACCACACTGCTGTCTGTGTCCCCGAGTCCTCCTTTCTGCTCAGTCCCTCCACTGCATAACCCCCTCCCGACTGTCATCCGCTGTCTGTCTGTCTGTCTGGGTGTCTGGCTCTGTTTTGCTTGTTAGTTCAGTTTATTAGTTTTCACATATTTCTAGTTGAAGGAAACTTTCATTTTTTCTTTTATCCCATGTCGAGCAGTGATTATCTGAAGAATTTTCTGGGTCTTTCTATACCTTCTTATTCGTGGTTATACAAAAAGTCTTTCAACATATATATGTGTGTATGTAGGACTTACATAGATGCATTGCACATATAAGCATAAACGTGTATGCATGTACACAAGCCCAGGAGTACCTGTGCACACACACACTCACACATGTACCTGTGTGTGTGTTCCTAAGTATGAGTGACACACGCGGGGATATTCTTCTTGGAGAAGCGGGCGCACTCCGGTGTTGAACAGATCCTGTCTTTCCTCCTCTAGCAACTTGTTTTTGTGCTCAACAATATTTCACCGAAGGCCTTGGAAGCAGGGACCTGCCGACAAACCTCGTTCACCTCCAGAGTGTCCGCTGCAGGCGCCTTATTTAACTCCACTCTCCCGTGGGTGCCAGGACTGCGGCCGGTTTTCTCCTCCCCTAACGTTTGGGTCAACAGCAGGGAACACACACCTTTCCAAGCCTTTCCGGTGCTTCTGGGGAATGGGTTCCTCGGAGTAGATTTTCTAAGCCATAAAAATAACCGAGTTCCGAACAGACTAGTGTGTTTTGTTGCCTCTCAGAGAGATGGATGGCGTCCACCTCAGGGACAGCCCGCCGGCCGAGTCACAACCAGGGCACTTCACCAGCGTCACCGTGAGTACTCAAATTCGGGAGGCTCCAGGCAGATTCGGGTCTGCCTCTCCAGGGTTTCATGTATATTTGTGTAGATAGATAGATACACATCTTCATATATATGTATTATATATAAATCTCCATATATATGTATACAAATCTTCACATATGTGTAAGATCATATTTATTTTTATCTAAATTTGTCTTAACAATTCTGAACCAAGACATCATTTTGCCCAACAGTCCCTCTAGGTAAATCAATCTAAATGTAAAACACCTCAGAAGCATATTAAATGTGAAACGTTACCATTTCCAGCCTTTTTAGGCTCGAAGGCTGTGCTATTTATGCAAAACTACTGCCTTTTATCAAAATACTGAGAATATTCTGACATTTCTGAAGTAGACAAAATGTCTACTTGTATTTTAAGGAAAAAAGTGACAAACTCTACTCGTTTTGATAACAAATATTTATTGAGAACATACTAAGTGAATTCTAAGTGGTACAAAGAATGGAAGTAAGGATAGAACCAAGGTCTTTACCGTGAGACATTCCTCATCACCCTAAATAATTGATGGGAGGGATAGTGTGCAGAACTTTAAAAATATTCCCAGATGCTTGGCAAGATGGTGGGAGATATTAAAAAATGGGGGGGGGGGAGCTTACTGACTCAGGGGGCTTAGAATCTACCAGGGGACTGTGAGCACAGCACTTCTTTGGCTCCACAAAGGGGGCGCCATCATTCCTAGCCTCCTGGTGGTGTTGGGGTACTTTGAACCGAACCGTGAAGTCCAGGCAGGACTTTGGTGGGTGGTGAGGCCAGATCATTGTAAGCGGTGGCAGAGAATGATGAGCAAAGATGTGGGAAGAGGCGATAGTCACATCTCAGCACATGGTCTGCTGTGGCTGACCTTGGTGTGTGTGAGGGAAAAACTGAGGCTCAAAGGAAAGACAGGTCAGTGTCAGGCGAGGCAGGGTCTGCATGCGCTCTCGGGGGCGTGTGTGGAGTGTGAGGGGGCTTCGGGAGGATGTGTCTGCTGGGTGACACTACAGAAGGGCGGGGGAGTGGAGGGGAGAGCACCCACTGGGAGACGACTGCACTAATTCAATGAGAACGTGCTGATGGACCTTTAATTAGACCCCCAGGCAGCTTCTGTGCAGGTCGTAGTTGGCTTAACTAAGACAGTGAATCTCTCGGAGAGACACATGGGCCATACCATAATTCACTGATGAATGAGAAATGAAGTTCAAGCCACTGAATAATCAGAAAGTAGATTAAAAAATTACTGCAAACCAGGAGCATTGTTACGACTTGAGGTTCTTATTTCCCTGAACCTGGGTAATGGCCCCAACAGAGAAGACCAGCACATTGAATCCGCTCAGTGTGAAATCTGTGGACAGGACAGGGTCTCCATCACTGACCACCCTGGAGGGAATGGGTGGAAAACGCACGCAGTGTGCCCTGAAGCAGTGAAGCCTCCCAGGGAGAAAAGGGGAGCGTGAGGAGCCAAGGCTCCTAAGTCAGGTCGGGACTGGAGGGAGAACAAACTCACTCCCTGCTGAGCGCTCTGGATCGGGGTGCACTGCTGAGGACGCTCACACGCCCCCCCACCCCCGGATTCTGCTGCTGCTGCTGCCGCTAACAGCGATGAGGATGGCGTGGTCCAGCAGTCAAACAGGCATAAGACAGGTTAGCTAGAGAAAATGACCAAATTTAATTACATGTCTATGTACGGGGACCCCACGGCCATGAGTGGTTCAGAGACCAGGAGGGAAATGGAGGTACACAGGACCTGCAAACCTAGGGGTGGGGGGTACACCTCAGGGCTGCACAAGGTCACTGCAGGGAGAGAACCTGTTCAGTGAGTACAGGTCTGCCTTGCCACACAAATAGGTAAAAAGTCGTTGGGGTTTCGACTCCATTGTGGACCAGGCTCCTAATGTACATTCTTCTAGGCCATAAAGGATGGGAGCAGAAATTCCCCTTGAGTCTGTAGGGTATTGGTCGCCTTTAGCTCAGAAGAATCTACACACCATTGAGGCTTGCTCTCCATGGCGATGGTGATGTGTGCATCTCTGCTGTAAATGTGAGCCCAGGCCTTCATCACATTAGAGCTGTGGGATGGACAGAGCCTGTGGGGGAGTTACAGGGGTGGATGGGGCAGGTGGGGGCATTACAGGGGTGGATGGGCAGGTGGGGGGGTTACAGGGGTGGATGGGGCAGGTGGGGGTGTTTCAGGGGTGGATGGGCAGGTGGGGGTGTTTCAGGGGTGGATGGGCAGGTGGGGGAGTTACAGGGGTGGATGGGCAGGTGGGGGAGTTACAGGGGTGGACAGAGTTGGTGGGAGGGTGGTTAGGAGAGGTACTGAGCAGCGGTGCCCCAGGGCTGGCCCTTACTGTCAGTGGGAATCACTTGATAAATTCTTGGGAATTTCACAAGCCAGTTGTCACTAACAATTACTTAAAAATTATATTTTATACTTGTAATTCAGTAAGGGATATTTTTAAAAGGCCAAAAACACTCTAACGTCATCATTTGGTGATTACCTTGCTACATTTTGCTCTGATCTGTGTTCTTGAGGGCAGTCTGCATCTGCAACATCGAGACGGTGGAAATACTGCCGAGTTGGGGGCTGCCGAGGGTCTCTCCCCAATGCCGGTTCAGTGGCTTCAGGTCCGTGGCTTAAGGTGACCAGAGAGGAGTGTTCACACCACAAAAATCAGCAAGTGCAAATCAGACCTAATCCCCCACCCCCACGGGCCAGGTGTCACCCATTTCCCATGTGACCTGGGGGCTCTCCCACCCCTCACCCCTCAGGTGGAGAGAACTGATGTTCTCTAAGCAGCTCCTACTCTTTGCTCCGGGGTCTGTCGGTCTCCGCTGCACTGCACAAGCCCCAGTCAGCGTCCAGTTGCTGTCCCGTGTTCCCACCGTCCCCTTGTTACTGAGGAGGGTCATGTTCAGTGACTGCAAGCAGTCGGGCGAGCCACAGTCTCTCCCTCCCAGTTTACTCCCACTCACATGAACAGGCAGAAGTGAGTGAGCACGCTCTGGTGTTTGACCTTGACTTTGACCCTTGATTCTCAGGGGCCCTAATATTTAGAGGAACATCACTGGGTCTAATGCTAAGAGCAGGAAAATTTTCAGGTAAACAAGAGCTCGTATTTCATTTTATTCCAAGTTTCCTGGGCATCGGGGGCGTCTGCTGACTCAACAACATGATCTGTGCTTGAACTGGATGTGCTGCGGGGCTTTGACAGAAACAACTTTTTTCCTCACATTGCTAAAACAAACGAAAAAAAAAACCAACCCTAATTTCTGTATGCAAGGGATAGGAGGCCGGTGATTTCTGATTCTTATTTCGAAAACCATGTTTCGATTGGGTCTCCGGCACCTGAGCCGTCCTCTCCTATTTCAGCCTCTCGTTCAATAATTTTTTAAAAGGTTATTTATATGCACTGGGCCTGAATGTCAATCTTGATATTTTCCACTGTTATGAATCTAAACTCTAAATGGGGTACACTGACAATACAGACAAATTTAATCTTCTTCACGTATAACTGGAGGATAAAAGGTCAAAAATAAAACATGTTTTTCCCTTTCCTTCGGGTAAACATGCAAATAGCTCATTTCCTTTGAAGCGTGTATATACAACATGCGTTCTGCTGCTTTGCAGCAGGAAATAGGTCGCTGAGATGCAGCAAAAGTTAACCCTTTCATTTCTCTGGCTAAGAAAAGGGTTATTTTCTTCTAACACAAGGTCCTTCGCCATGCTAAAGTCAGTCACATGACCTCCTGTTTGGGGCTTTTTAAGGAGGTAGGTTCATAAAGCAACTCTTTCGGGCAGCCTCTTTCCTCTTTTGACAATCCAGTGACGCCCTTCTTACCAACCAGTGTCACTGGGCTTGCCCCTAAGAAAGAGAGAGATTGAGCCTCTCCCCCTGAGAATTTCATAGTCAGGGACAAATGGCAGTGCAGGGTGCCAGCGTCATAGCCAAGGGAAGAAGAGAGAAAGGTGTCCACGGAATCTGTGAAGGCCCCAGAGAGGAGGCAGGAGGGAACGGCAACCACGAGGCCCTGCAGGGGGTGGCGTGCAGAAGGCAGAGTGGGGGGCGGGCGTTGGGGGTGCTGAGAGAGCCTTGTGGATTCCCCCGTAAGACCCGCCCCAGCCCTCTGTCACTTCGTCCTCTCCCTTAAGCCTTCTGCTGCAGAGTTTTAGGGACACCGTGTTGAAATTCCATCGCGGTACAGAATCTGCATAACGCAGACCGAGGCGGGAGACAGAGGGACAAGAGCAGTTCATGACCACATTTTTCCGCAGCCCGAGAAATCCCATGTGCCATCTGCTGTTACCTTCCAAAAACTCTTTCAGAGCATGAAATGGTAGTTTGTGAAATAAAGCAAAATGGTTACATTATCCAGAATACGTTATCCACGCATCACTTTATATTTGAAAGATCCTTATTCATTTGTGTATTTGCAAAAAATCAACTAAATAAAAATAAGGGAAATATTGTCATTTCCCTTGTCCACTAACAGTGCTTGGCACCAAGTGGGTCAGTTAAGGTTGGTCCAGCAACGGCAGACAGAGGTTTTGTGGCGCGTCCATTTTTCCCTCCGATTTGACCAAATCAGCTTCTACCTCCTGCCGCCTCCCTGACGCAGCCCAGACTCGGGCAGGAGGACAGGAGTGTGGCTGTGCCAGGCTGATGGACAGCCGGTTTAATGGGACATCTTCAAGTTCACTACTGAGGTTAATTGGCCTAAAATACCTTAAAACTAAATGAAAGCACTTTTGCCTTAAGAAAGCAATGTACAAAGTTTGATGGCATTTCAGCTGATTCTAGAAGAAGCAGTTCTGTGATAAAATGTGTCATTTGCAACTTACAAAAGAAGAAAGATTTCTTGTCTTCCCCGAATGTCTTAGAAGAAAAGAACAGTCCCCACCAATCGCCATGCTCGCAAATGCCTCAACTTTCTCCTCAGGCTCCGTCCCCGACGGACACTGTTTTGCCTCTGCGTAGAGGCACTTGCGGCCTTTTTCTACCGTGGATGCCCCACGAAAATTCCATCTCTCTCCTAGAATGCGCTTTCCATCCTATCCTGCCCCAGTCGGGGGACAGGATTTCCGATTGTCAGTGATCCCAGGAATATATCTTTGCTTTCGTCTGTGCTCGTACCGGCACCCGCCATGTATGCGTTTTATGATCAAATGTGTTCGCTGAAATCTAGGACCGAAATTTCAGCGTCTCTGTATTGCGTGAGCAACGCTAATGCCGACCTGCTCCTGGATTTGAACACTCGCTTGCTTCGGGTGTGTCTCGCCTGCCACGCTCCAGAGTCACGAGAGGTAGCACTGATGGGCTGTGTCACCTGCGTCACCTGCGTCACCTGTGCAGGGTGGGTCCGCCGCATGCAGGAGGCCAACACACCAGCGTGAGAGCTGTCACTGAGGGACACTACTCAGGCTGCCGCTCCCCCGGCAGAATCTGGGCTTTCGGGGATCTTGCCTTTCAAGGGCGCAGATGGAGGTAGCGGGATTTAACTCTGACTGGGTAGCATAGACGTTCTGATTTCCAGACTCTTTCTGGCTCCGCTTGTCAGGGCTCTGGGATGACAGTGAACCCACGTTCCTGAATTCAAATTCATTAATCTTTTGTAAAGCATCTGGAGCAAAGGCGCACGGACAGCACACGCTGGCCGAGCCCCGGGAACAGAGGGCACATTCCGGGCGGTCCAACCCCAGGCGCTCGTTAGCCTTGTGGCCTCTGGGTCTAAAATGTCCCACCCATCCCCAGTATTTTATTGATGTGTTTGTTTTTAAAGATTTTATGTACTCGTTTTTAGGGAGGAGAAGGGAAGGAGAAAGAAAAGAAGAGAAAATCAATGTGCGGTCGCCTCTCGTGCTCCCCCTGCTGGGGGCCTGGCCCGCAAATCAGGCCTGTGCCCTGACAGTGACCCTTTGCTTCCTAGGCCAGTGCTCAATCCACTGAGCCGCACCAGCCAGGGACCCAATATTTTTAAAAATAAATGCTAATTTATTTTTTGCTATTTTTTGTTCCAAATTTTTATTTCAAAAAATTTCAACCTAAAGACAATTGAGAGATAGCTACGCTGAACATGCATGCACACTCACCCAGTTCCTCCCAATACCGTCCTGTCTCTCTGGCTTTGTCACCGTCCCCACCTCTGCTCAGACAGACAGACACATGTTCCCCCTAGTTCTTCTGAGATTAACTTGCAGGTATTGAGACAGTGGACCACGCAATATGTGGGCACACAGGACCCAAGACAACTCCATTATTCCTTTCCACACACCATGTGACTCCTGAAAACAACATTACTTTTATCTAAAACGTCATTCATATTTAAAAAAATCCCCCACTTACCCCCAAATTATCTTTAATGCCTGTCATTGTGTTTTTGATTCAGTTTCCAAACAGCCCTGGTTGGAAGTTGGTTAGTATTCCTATTTGGTCTTTTTCAAAGTCAAGACCAACGTCCTGATAATATTGCCTTCTTTAAATTGTTAAAAATATTTTTTTAAAACGTGAAAATGTCATGCTCCTACAAACATACAGTGAATACATGTCAGAGACTTTATTTCACTTGTTAATTTTTGAGGTGAGAGGAAGATGTTCAAAAGATCTGAAAGGAAAACCGCTGGCAGCCGCGCAGGCCTGGCCTCGCCGGCCAGGGAGGGGCCCTGCCCACCGCGCCTCTGTGGGCACAAGTAATTGCACGGATTTCCGTGTGTCTATAACAGCACAAGGACAGTGAATGGCGCAGACTGTTCTAGAAGCAGATGCATGCCAGGCAGCCCGGCGTGCCACCGGACACGCGGTGCGCGTATCTCCTTTGTGCCCTTTCACGGTCCCCCACACACCTTCCCGTCTCCTCCGATTCGTGATCATCAGGACCTCAAAGATTATCGATGATCACAAAGCAGGCTGGCCTCACTGGTTTGTCCTGGTCACTTACACGGGTGGGGCAGGGACGGAATCGACGGCAGAGGCTGCCGTGACTTCTCTCACCCAGGGCCACACAGCGCGCCTGACCGCACAGGTGCCCGCGTCACCCCTTCTGGACGTTTCCATACAGAACTTCAGACTGGATTTTTTAAGCCTCCCTGCTGGCTACTCTCTGACTCCGAAACTGAGCCCCGGGCTCTCTCCCCATTCACCTGCGTAACTGGCACATTGGGCGAACTCCCATTTTGAGTCCCTAAGAATATACTGAGGTTCCTAGTGTGGCTGCCTTCCCACCTGTGAGGCGGGGCCCCTAGCCAGGGGGTCCCCAATCTCCCTGGGAGTTCTGGATGGACGCATAATTCAGTAATTTCTCCTGAAAACCAGATTTGTCAGATTTGATTAAATAAGAATTGCTCTCAAATATGACACTCCAGCTCATCCTAAGTTGTACGATTCATTTGTCCAACTCCATTTCGCCAGGAAGGAGGACAGATGTTAACTGAGTCCGTGAACTGTCACGTGCCTGATCGGAATGTTGTCTGAGCACTGTAGGCACAAATCTGCCCCCAAGCTGGTGACCAGAAAACTCAGTGGTGGGGAGTGCTGGGGCAGCAGCGCTGACCTCTCCCTTTGCTGAGGACACAGGCTACAGTCCGAACTTCACAGCAGGACCTCGGGAACTGCTGGAGTGAAACAGAAGTGTGTACATTTCGCCCCTCAGAGGCTGCTGTTCGCACCACTGCCAACCTGCTCAGCAGGGCAGAAAGTGAGGTTCTGCACTGTGGGAGTGTAGGGCGGTGCTTCAGCCAAAGGCAAGACCTCAGGGTGGGGGGGACTCTCTGTAACAGCCCGCTGCTGTTTCAGACACGGTTCTATTGGCCCCTCCAAGGT